TTATTACTAATCTATTCTTGAATTCTATAAAATAAAAGAACATTTTAAATTTAAATATTTGTGTCGACAATGCATAGTATCAGTATTTCAAATTCAAATGCTGCTAACGTTATCTCTCCAGAGCGGAAATATAAAATACAGCGAGCTGCCTTTCTTGAAAAAAGAGAAAAAATGTATTAAAATATTCCAGTTACACGAATAGCTATCGATTATTAACAGTTGTTAATAATGAAAGATATCAATCATAATATGCTTCAATGAACGAGAAAAAAGTCAATAGTAGGTCTTTAAATTTCAATTAGATTTTTGCGAGCGTCACGACTCCAGCTCTTCACTCTACACAGTAATTCTATATGAAAATAAAGAAAAAGGATTCGCACTGCAACCCAAACCCAAACTCAAACCAAACCCAAACCGTTTGGGTTTGTGTCATGCCTAGAATACATACTCCATTACAATAAACAATAACAATCTCATGAATGAATCACTAAAGAATTTATGATATCGATATTTTTTTCATATTGCTTGATTATGCTGTACGTTTAATAAAAACAGTCTTCTTTGTTATATCGTGCTGATAATCTGGAAAATGAGAAACAAAATTAAGTTATGATTTCGAATTCTTATAGAATCTCTCTTCTTAACAATGATTTAATATTATGACAAAAAAAGAGGAAATCTGATACTTTGTTGGATTTTTTTTTCTTCTAGACTTTTGAATGTTTAAATCAACAATAACAATCTGCAAATCTATGCTATCCACTGTTAGAGTTAAAGCTTATTTAAAAAAAATTTAAGTTGAGGAAATTGGCAAAGATTTATAATGATTATCACGCTACTTATGATTACTCAGACATGCGTTAGGTATAAGAATACTCAGATTTAGAAGCTATTTTTTGTCCGAATATGTGAAAGATTAATCAAAAACAATGGATAAGATTATAGANTATTTTCAGTAAATAATGTGCCCGTAAAAAGTGAATACGAAAGAGATACTCAAATCACTTGTATTAATTTTTTTCTATTTAAAGTACAAAAATATTTAAATTTAAATTTTAAGTTCAAACTAAGTGATTGATTTTTCTTTTTACTGAGAATGAAATGTTTAATGATACTGAGATACAAATAAATTTTATAGAAATCTTTCTACAAGAATCAATGGGAATTGGAGTAAATGCATTTAAAGAATTGAGCCTTTCTTGTATACGATTATATGCATTTTGTTTCGTCTGACACATTTGACTCTTTAGGTCAAAAACTTTTATATTAAAAAACAAAAAAATATTAGACTTTAACACATAAATATCATACATGTGATAAGTACGTTCATGAGCAACCCGGATAAAATATTTATTGTGCATGAGCACATCAAAACGTACAGTGGCAATCGCCCCTGGATGCACGTTTTGCATTCTGACTGCATTTAGATGCTAATTAAAGTTGCTGTTAGTGGCATTCAGACATAGTTATGTTTCAAGTTGTGTTTAAAAACAATTGTATCATTGGGTTTGAGCTACATTTAGGGTCTTTCCTTTCTACAATTTGTCATCTAGTTGTATTCCTAATAAGTTTACGTGGAAACTAACATTGAACTTCATCTTTCAGTTAAAGCAAGCATTTTTGCTTAACTTTTAATTCCTCGAAGATGGGAACCACATATATGTGGTTTGGTTCTGAATCACTTTTTAACTGACTGATGAATATCTTCAATGATATTTTTCTGTTGTCTTTCAGAACACTGGTTGTGAGCTTTGGTTGCTCTCATTTCCCGAAATATTTCTTTTCTCTCCCTGGGAGAATGATCCACACATTCAAGGGTGTGGGTGTGGGTGTTGCTGAACAGAAGGTAACCATGCACACACCCACACCCTCAAATCTTCAAAAAACACTCGTTCTTTTTGTATTTTTTCCACTTATTATCAAGAAAATATTTATCTAATGATGTAGAGTAATGATCCGTTCGTCTCATTGATTATCAAAATCTTCACAATTCGAAATTCTTCAACTTTTTTAAAATTCCTACAATTTTTATATTTTGATTTTATTTATCGAATTAGAAAGTAAAATAAATGTGCCACTCCTATGTTTATTTGATTGACATGCTTGCGAACCTATATTGAACGATAATCTTTGATTCTCTTCTAGATTCAACTGATTCTTTTTTGTTTCTTTTAACTTTTAATTGAAACAATCACTTTTTCATATGAATGTATTTCATTTAGAACTAAATAGAAACAAATAATGACGTGAATGTGTCTGAAGAGCAAGGAATGAAGGCGTCCAGATGTGATTGGAACAATTCTCTTTAGACGCATCTATTTTCCGTTTCATGTTTACAAGAGATTAACGAAATTTTCTAAACAGTGGATGATTTTCTAGCAAAGTAATTTCTTTTCTAGAATTGCACATTCCCTCACTTCCATTCGATATGCTCTGTCCACCCCTTTCACCCTTAAATATATATTAGAGTCATTTGTTTAAGTTGTTATTATAAAAAATAATTAGATTTTACTCTGTAAATCTCTCATAAAATGTCATTAATTGATTTGATCTAGGAGATAGTTTCTATTGTTTCTATTCGCATTTCTTCTGAAAAATGAAAATACCGTTATTTGAGCTTTTACAAATACCTTTTCTACTCTCACTTTGAATGACAAAAAAACATGAGCAATATTTACTGTTACTCAGTCGGAGTCAAGTTGAAAAGAAAAAAAATACGCCAATACAGCAATTTGATAAAAGAATGATGTGAATAAAGAAGAAAAAAACGTGCTGTCACACCCTAACCGAACAACACACCACAGGTAACATTTTATAAACAAAAAGGAAGAAAAATCATGAATAACGGTAATACTAAGCAAAATGCAGATTTCAAAAAAAAAACAGAAAATTTATCTTCGATGGATTTTAATCTCTTGATTATGCCTGCACGAGGAAAAATATTTAGACAGGAACCTGTCAACTTAAAATTAACATCAGCTGCAAAAGTACAAGAGCTAAAGGCAACCATTAAAAATATTACCGGTAAGTTAAATGAATCGAACAGAATACCACGAAGACCATGTGTCTGCAAATTTTAGGTATTCCAGAATTTCACCAGCATCTTAGTTTTGATGGCTATAGTTTACCAGACGATCGTTATTTATCAGATTTCAATATTGTTAATAATTCCGTTCTTACGATGGTCGTGCACGAGAGCGATAATTGTCATTACCCCATCTATGTCAAAGAACTGAGTGGCCAGCAACACACGCTGATGGTTAATTTCACCGCAACAGTTTTACAGGTGAAACGTTTGATTGAACAGCAGACTGGAATTCCTTTACACGAGCAGCGTATAATCTTTGCAGGAAAACAATTGGAAGATGACCGCATTTTTTGTCACTATGGGATTCAAAAAGAATCAACCATACATCTTGTCCTCAAACTAAACTAAAATATGCCGCAATCCACAACACCATGTACGGCACATTAAAATGCGACACGAAAAGTTCGTTGCGACAAATTTCTTCCACCAGACCTACGACACATTTTACTTCAGTGTGCTTCGCAAATTAAGATTAAAAAACATTTACGTTTAAGAGAAAATAAAAAAACAGAGAATAATTGCTTATTTTCACGATCTTTTCCTTATTGATTTATGCACATCTTGATTAAGAAACTTTTTTTGATGAACTTTTCTCCATCAAATTAAATGTGTGTCTATGTGTTTGTCTGAAGACTTTAGCGATGCTCATTTTTGTCAGACTGTTTAGTCTAAAGAAAATCTCTTCAATAAAATGCGTAACAGGTAGTGAAAAGACATTTACAGAGACATAGTCATTCGTTGAAATCATTAATAAGAAGCAGTTGGTGCCAAAATTTTGCATTGTTCCATCTTATGTCGTTAAATCTTTGACGTGTTCAAAACGCCCTTACTTTACTTTATGAAATATTCTTACTCATTAATCACCCAGATCCACCACTACAATGAGCGTAAACATCCGTATACGTTTACACTGGCGTTTACGTGCGTATTTCCTCGAATCTGACCGTGCTTCAGAATAACTCAACCAGAGCCGATATCAAGTGCCAAAAGGAATTTTTCAGGGCTTTTTAAACAAAATTCTTTTTTTTCAAACAAGTCTCCTTCAATTAAGGTCTTACTTAGAAAAAAAAGCCTTAAAATGGCTTGAAGGTGGGGGTGCTGGTGTATGGGCATGGGTGGGTGTGGGTGTGGGAGTGGGGGTGAATGTAGATGTGGGTGTAGGGTGTTGGTGTGGTGTGGGGGTGGGGCGGTGTGAGTGTGTGGTTGAGCATGTGGGTATGGCTAAAGAAAATAGTACACTTCGACGTTCACACCCATATCCACATCAGCCATACCCACATCCACACACCCACCCACACCCCACACCCACACCCACACCAACCCACCCACACCCACCCACACCCACACCCACACCTACACCCACACCCACACCCACCCACCCCTTTTTTATCTTTTTGCCTGATGATGAGAGTGGAACTCTCGAAAAGCTTCACATTTTTGTAATAAAATTTAAAATAGTTATAGATAAATTCTCATCTGCTGTGAAACTAATTCAATGTAAATTAGAAGTTCGCTGGGCTTCTATTTTGTGGGGGGGGGGGGGGTAGTAAAATCAAACTATTGATTTATATGGGTTAAAAAATCAATTAGATAATTCAGAAAAAGACTTACACTAGATTTGAATGAATTAGAAAGATTTCCAACAGTTGTTTGAATAGTTTCATTAACTCGAAGTAGTTGTTCATATGAGGTCCAATGATGCTAAAGGAATAAGATATTACTAAATATCGAGAAAAAATGAAGAAAAATTACTTGAGAAATATTTTTTTCAAATAAATAAATCGCAAGAACATCAGCTAGAATTGATGATGTTTCATTTGTCAATTGCGAAGCTAAATCATTCATAAACTGACGGTAAGCTGCAGTAACATCTGTTTCATTATTGTAATATTCTCTTTCTTGTAAACCGAGACTACCTTGTCCGAGGTGAAATATTTTTTAAAAAAAATGTTAAACAAGTATTATTTCTTACGCCAATGTCATAAACTGATGCATTTTTTTTATCAGTTGCTATAGCAACACTAAAAGCGATTTCATTATCGTATTTACGCAGTTTGAGTAAAAAATTTGATAAGTTAAAAGTGGAAACATTCCATGAAACACCTTGTAAAATAGGCCATCCACCAAGCTCAGTATTAATGATAGAGAGAACGAGTTCGACATCATCAATTTCAATATTTGTTTCATTTATACATGATTTGTATAAATTACGAGCATTAATAACAGCTTTTGGTTCAACGGCTCCATTTCCCGGTGTTGATGATAAAAGATCTTAATAGAAATAAGATTAGAGATAGATGGAACATTTTTACTCATACCAATTATGTTGAAATCTAATTGTGTATCCAAGAGATTGAAAATATTTTGAACACCGGCTTAAATAAACTTACAATTTTGCTTTTTCATGTAAAAATGGCTACGTACTATCTTCAGGGATTCGAGCATTTTTCAGCCATGTTCCACAAGGAAAATGGTAAAAATCTTCACACGGTTCAACTGTTTCATCGATACTTTCGATTAGACAGTAGGCTACAAAACAGATAATTATTTTTTATTGATTTTCTTACAAAATTATGTGTAAGTTACCTACTTTGATACAATATGGAGTCAAGCATAAGTCTTGATCGACTGAAACGAAAGAATTAGCAGATCTGATTTCAAAGCAAGAACAAAACATTTTGTTGTTGTTGTTGTTGTTGATGATGTTGTTGCTGTTGTTGTTGTTGATGCTGATGATGTTGTTGTTGTTGTTGTTGTTGATGATGATGATGTTGTTGTTGTTGTTGATGATGGTGGTGTTGTCGTTGAAGGTGGAAATGTTGTTGTTACTACAGTTGCTGCTGTTGTTATCCTATTTTTTTATGCCATAGAGAGTAGCGAACACAATTGTGGTAACGACACAAATTCCAAGAAGAACACTTAGGAGTTTGGGAAGTGTGATCGAACGAAATCCAGATTTTGGTGGCTGGCTGAAATAAAATATATATGTAGGGTGCACTACTCCAAATATTGATATTGAATCCCTCCTTTTCAGGTCGAGATTATGATACATGCCTGATTATTTCCACCGCTCCCTTACTGATTCGACTTGTCATATTTGCGATTCAAGACAGTTCGTGATTTGCTAATGTGCTTGACAAGTTTCAGTTGGAGACAAAAAAAACAGAAGTGAAACTATGACTAAGACCGAATGGATAAACTTTCAACAAGGAACGCCGTTCTTCTATGCGTAAGCACAGACGCGAAAAAAGTCTCATGCTTGTTTGGTTGTGATGATAAGATATGAGAAAAAAGCATAATCATGGTTGTTCTTCACACTCGAAACAGAAACAAAAAGTTTGTGTAGAAAAGCCAAACAATGATGCATTTTGCTTCTAAATCTGGAGATCTTCTTCGAACGCACCAGATTTTTGGCCTTTTTTGAAAAGATACCGAAATATCAACGATTAACATGTGATCTTTCGAAATGAGGGTGCGGTGTGAGACAAGTTACCACAATACATATAAGTATTTCACTATTACTGATAAGGATTATCAAGTGGCATCATACTAGTATAATAGATTCATTTTCGAAGCAGTAAATCAATACAGCTCAACGAAACAGAAATTCTTATGCTGATTAAAACAGATAAGATCGTTCTTAACATTCAGCCGCTGAAGGTGGCTACGCTTTCACATGTTATCTTGAAAGGATACCGCCGGATAGGGTCCAAAATTGGTCCCTCCTTATATCTTCATTTCAATATGCCAAAAAGATAGCCCGCGTGTTTCTGCATAGGCCTGTATATTCGTTTCTTCGAAGACCCTCAAGAAAAAAATTTCCAGGTGAACTTCTCTGTATTGGTCCCTTTGGCCTATTTTCACTTTCTGTTTCAGGTAGTTTCTGTGAGGTCAAATCTGTTGTGGCAACTGATAGCATAGATCGATGCGGTTTTAGGTGGACTTCAAAGCGGTGTATGAACATTGGCTAGGACTTGTTTCCTGCTAGATTAACGGTTACTAAAACGGCCGATGGGTACCGTTCACTTATGACTGAGGTCAATAGTAATACATGCCGAAGTGACCTTAATTCGCTTTGAACACGATAGAGATTTTGGGTGTGGGTGTGGGTGTGGGTGCGTGGGTGGGTGTCCTCTTGGCATTTACAACCACACCCACACCCACACCCACGCACACCCACACCCACATCCACACCCACACCCACGCACACCCACACCCTTCTTTCGAGAACCAGCCTCCTGAGTCTGAAAAAACTATAAATCTGGAAGGGAGGATCAAAAACGAAAACGGCCATAGCTGCGCGAATACGAGTACAACTTGTACTAGCATCTACTAGCACTGTTGGCATGTACTGTCATTGTACTTTTGTGTACTCGAGCACACGTACTACTATGACCCTCCTCCCTTTACCTCTGAAAAACCTAGAATTTCAGAATTTCATGTACTGGAACGTACTCTTCTGCACACATCACATATCTTTCTGCTGAGGGTGCTT